GGGGCCCTAGCGGGCGGGGCCCCAACGGGCGAGACCCTAACGGGTGGGTCGGGCGGGCGGGACCCTGACGGGCGGGCGGGACCCTAACGGGCGGAACCTTGACGGGCGAGTGGTTTACATAGCGGGTCGTAAAGATTTTCATATCAGGCTCGATCTAGGAGTGCGCCTGGGAGGACGCACGATCAGGAAATATTTTTCTTGCATAGGATTGTGGGTGGTTTACACAGCGGGTCGTAAAGATCCCCATAGCAGGCTCGATCCAGGGCTGCGCCTGGGAGCGCGCATGATTAGGAAATGATATTTTTTGCATAGGAGTGTGGGTGGTTTACACAGCGGGTCGTAAAGATCCCCATAGCAGGCTCGATCCAGGGGTGCGCCTGGGAGCACGCATGATCAGGAAATAATATTTTTTGCATAGGACTGTGGGTGGTTTACATCGCGGGTCGTAAAGATCCCCATAGCAGGCTCGACCTCAGAAGTTCACCAACGGTCAGGGCGCATGGGGCGGTAGAGTTCAAGGTTTAATAATCATAAGGAATAGAAATTTAGGGTTTAGGGTCTAACAGGGCAAGGCCAGGGATACCTACCTGCTTAGGCATTCACCTGCGGTGGCTATCAATCCCCCCCCGCATCTCCACCCCCACATAAAGATCATCTCTCCTCTCATGTTATACCGTGGTTGTAGCATAGCATAGCATAGCATAGCAAGCCCTTAGCAAAGAGGCGAGGTCACCAAAATTTGAGGAACCGGATGTTAGAGCGTGGCTGTAGCGAAGCAGAGGTAGCAAAGAGGCAAGGTCCCCAAAATTTGGAGAACCTTTTGCTACAGCGTGGCTGTAGCACAGCATAGCATAGCATAGCTAAACAGATAGGCGCTGCGAGGCGCGCGCGGCTGCCGCGCGCATGTGCACTCTGTCGTTTTTTTTTTTTTTTTTTTTTTTTTTTTTTTTTTTTTTTTGTGCAATGGATTATTGACATGGACACATCTTGCAAGAGCAAAATGTTGAGTTTATATTGTTTTCTACAATGGAACGTACACATTAAAAACGAAGAATGATCAGGATATAGTGTTTTTTATAGGATGGAGCATGTTGAAAGGCAGAATGTTAAGTTTATATTTTTTGACAATCTAAAACCCGGGTTTACATGCGGGTTTGCAACCCGGGCCGGGCACTATGTATTGTAGAAAATATGGTTTTCTGATCGCATGATCAGGATATAATATTTTTTGCCATGGATAGAGCGGGGGCGCGACCCGGACCGGCCACTTCGTATTGTAAAAAAATAGGGCTTTCTGATCGCATGATCAGGAAATAATATTTTTTGCATAGGAAGAAGGCCGACCTACATAGCGACCGGTTTTGAAGGGTTTAGGGTTTAATAATTATAAGGATTAGAGATTTAAGGTTTAGGGTTTAGGGTCCACTAGCCCAAACTTGCAGCCCACTTGACCGTGTCCCACCCACCCATGACCCAAAACATATTGATCTCGATGCGGTATCAACACGCGACTCGCAAAACGACGACGAGGACGACACCGATGACGACGACGTTGATATTGTTTGCAAAACGACGACGACGCGGCCGCGCAAAGACACCTGGGACGCGGCTGCTCCGGCGATGCGGCCCGCGCGCGTGACGACGCGATTTGAAGAACTGTATCGGGCCAGAACGCCATTCCTGGCGCTCCGAGGCCAAGGATCTGCGTGAGGGGCGCACCCTGGGATTTGCAGATCCTCCCAGAACGCCATTCCTGGCGCTCCGAGGGCAAGGATCTGCGTGAGGGGTGCGCCAAAATGGGGGGGGGGGCGGCCGAAGGGGGGACTTTAGGGACGCGGAAGGATTTCAGGATTAAAATTTTTATAGGCTCTTAGTTTTTAGGGTTTGGGTTAGGGGTCGGGTTTCGGCTTAGAGCTCGGGTTGGATTCGGGGGTAGGGTTTAGAGTTAGGATTAAGGGTTACAGTTCGGGTGGGGGTTTGGGTTTGGGGTTAGGGTTTGGTCGCGGGCTTAGAGTTAGCGTTGAGTGTTCGGGTTAGGGTTGGGGTTATGGTTCGGGTTAAGGTTCTTGGAGGTCTGGGGCGAATTCCGGGTTGTTAAAAAGAAAAATGAAAGATTGTAATAACAAGTAGTGGGTGTTTATTTTTTTACGGGGGCTTCCGGGTCCCAAAACAATAAGAGGTTGTAATAACAATAATACCTGGTAAAAGCAAATAAAAGATTGTAAGAAACGTAAAACATTGTAAGACAACAGAAAAGATCGAGACAACAAATAAAAGGTTGTACGAAAAATAATTAGTTGTTTTACAGAGGCCTCCGGGTTGTAAAAAAATACGGATTGTAACAACAAATCGCGGAGTCGAGCTCGCTATTTTTTTAAAGATCCTTATTTTTCTTAAGATCTTTCATTTTTAAAAAGGGTCTCCCGGTGCTCCCCCCCCCGCTCTCCTGCCTCCTGCCCCACCTCTGGTGTGCTGGCGGCCATCCCTCGGGGGTTCGCAGAGGGGGGGTTATCCCGAGGTGGGGTTAGGGAACGAACCCGGCCTGATGCTCACATGTCCTTCCTCCAGGAGCCGCTTCGAGCGATTTTTTCCTCCCAACCCCACCCCTGCCGTTGCTCCCTTCCCCTATGCCCCCCCGAGAATGTCTCCAGCGCACGGACGGAAGCGCGAAGCGCGGGGCCGCAGCCCTCGTTCTCGTTCTCTCTTCTCAGGAGGGCGTGGCCTACAACACCATCACCTTCAACTCAATCCTCGACGCGTGCATCAAGTGTGGGGACCTGGCCCAGGCGGAGGGGCTGCTGCGGGAGATGACCCAGGACAGCCTGCCCTCCCTGCTGCGCCCTTCTCCTCCCTACGTTCACGGTGGCTGCTGGGGGTCCGACAGGCAGGGGCAACTACAGGCCGGACCCTGTGGGCGGAGCCTCTTCTTGAATCGCGGGGTGGATCAACTATGGGCGGGGACCTTGGGGCAGGAGCCTATGCAGCTAACGCTGCCCAGCATTCAGAGCGGCAGCTACGGGCGGGATCTTCTGGACGGGCCCCTGTGTAAATGCCAGAAGAACATCCTGCACCCACAGGGCGGGGCCGCATGAGCGGAATCCTGTGCGACTACCGCAACGCCCGGCATCCACAGACAATTGAAGGCGGGACCACGTCGGGGAGGTGAGCGTGTGAAACCACCAGGAGTCCCAGCTCCCCGAGGAAATACAGCGCGAGACTTCCCCAGAACGCACGGCATTCAAAGGTAATTGAGGGTGGGACCGTATGTGCGGGAGTTTCCACTGCGATGTCGGCGCGCGGACGGAGCCACCTCGCCCAGTCGGACAGCAGCGTGGAGCCCGACCTCATCACCTTCTCGACGCTCCTGAAAGGCCCCTCGCGCGGACCCGCGCGTCATGCCTGCCTGCCCTCGAGGGGTCATCGCCGGGTCTTCCTGCTGGTGCTCCGGCCGGGCTTCCGTCTGTATGGCATGTGCTCTTCTGTCTCGACCTCGCTCGGGTGGACGGTCTTCAACAGTCGCTCCTCTCCTCCCCCTGCCGTCTCTCTTCCCCCCTCCCTCCCCTCATCGCTACAGCCTGGTTCTCGCCTCCCCCTCCTCAGTTTCCTCCTCCTGCAGCAGGTGTACCTGGAGAGCCACGGATCTTACCAGAGATCGCGAACGTGCGAAGCTCCCCGTCCTCCCATCCCCATCGTCTCTTCACCCCCGTCCCCCTCCACCACCTTGGCCTCTCCTTGCTTCTGCCGCTCCTCCTCCTCCTCCTCCTCCTCCTCCTCCTCGTCTTCCTCCTCCTCCTCCTCCTCGTCTCCCTCTCTTTCTGCTGCTGCTTCTTGTGTCCCCTCTGTTCTGCCACCGCATACTTTTACTTGGGCATATTATTTCATCGCATCAACTGTACAATCCTGCGTATCTCCTTCATCATGTTCCTGCAATCCTTGTGCTTTGCTTGGTTCGTTCGCGCACGTTGTGTATGTTGCGTCCTTCGAGCTTCCCTCGAGCTCCTCGGGCCTCGTGCTGTGTAATATCTTAAAGGCTGCCGCCTCTGCCGCCGACCCCTCTTTGTGGTTTCACGGGCGCGCACGCGGCAATTCGCACCCCGTGTTCCATCAGGGCTGGGCGGCCCTAGAAAACAGTGAAGAAACCTTACCAGGCAACATAGGAGGACTCTAACACGCCCACTCCGTCCAAGCGTGGCGAATCCAGGGTGGGTTTGTTGTCCTTCGGGTGCCCTCTTCGTCTCGCACGGATTGACGCAGCGCGAAAATCTGGTCACTTTGGACTCTCGGAGGGGTCCGGGGGTTCGTTTTTAGTGGATTGTGTTTGGGGGGTGCGAGAGTGACGACGACGACGACGACGACGACCACGACGACGACGACGACGCGCGTCGCTGTCTTTTGATCGAGCCGCGCGCCCTCGGCGGCGCGCGGGCTCGGCGCGCGGCCGCGCGCCGCGCGGGCCCGGCGCGGGGGCGCAGGCCTGGCCTGCGACAGCGGTGGCGAGGACCGCGACGACAACGACGACGACGACGACGACGAGGACGTCGACGACGTCGACGACGACCGACGACCGACGACCGACGACCAACGATTCACCTGCGACCGGCGACCTATGACATACGACCTCCGACCTCCGGACGACGACGACGACGACGACGACGACTATGACGATCTCGTCGTCGTCGTCGTTGTCTATCTTCTCTGCTTTCTCTTCTTCCCGTGCCCCCTCCCAGTCCTTCCCGTGCCCTTCTGCGTGTAACGTCTGAGATGCATCAATTCAACTGCCTGCCCCTTCTTGCCCACTGGCTTCTGCCGCCCCGAGCTGTGATCGTGGCCGTCGGTGTTGTCGTCGGCCGCCCCGAGCTGTGATCGTGGCGCAGTTGGCTGCTGCGGACGAGGCTGCTGCGGAAGGGCATGCGCCGGCACTTCCACGAAGGGGCGCGGAGCTGGCAGGCATCGCGTCGGTGATCTTGAAGTCGGGCGGCGACGAGGACACGGCTGAAAGCATGTCCACGTTCGTGCACCAGGCCCTCGTGCGCAGGAAGGTGGTCGTGGATCTCATCGAGGGGGCGAAGGCTCGCGGGCATCGCGCGCGCCGGAACGTGGACATGGATGAGGCCCGGAAGAGAGCCATGGAGCTTCTGGAGGAAGGCGTGCCGCCGGAGATCATGCGCCTGGTGCCCCTGGACGACGCGCTTCACAAGGTCCAAATGCAGAAGGCGGCGACGCCCGTGCCGAGGCCCGACGGGCTACGAGAGGCGGGAGAGATTTTGGAGACCACGAAGGCGAACGCCGTGGTGTGTGAGAAGAGCAGTTTCGACGAGGGAGACATCAATGCGCGACGGATTGAGGCTGTGCGGACCTTCGTGCAACGGCTAGATGAGGATTGCGCGCGTGGCGGGGCCGACGACACGTCTAACTCCAGCGAGGAGGAGGAAGGCGGCGGGAAGGCAGAACGGGCAAGCAAACGCGCCTGCGTCCGCGAGGGAGCGGCTTCGGGCGCGGGGGAGGCGGCGCGAGAAGCAGTGGAGCGCGACATGCTGACTCAGGCCAGGCGCGAAGGGAAGCGCGTGGATCGTCTCCGCGTGCGCACTGGAAACGTTACGATGGATCAGTTCGAGCCCTGGTATTTCGGCGTCGCGTTCGCGTTTTTGTTCAAGTATTGCACGGGTATGCCAGACTGCCCCGAGTTCATGGAGCGACCGCGCCAGCGACGGGGGAATGGTGCGCCGAGGGTGGAGCTGCCGCTGTGGGTGCGGATAATGAGTCGTCGCGTGGAGAGCCAGATTTGCCGCGATTGGCATTTCGGATTCGTGTCGTGGAACCTGGTGTTTCGATCGGCCGTGAACCTGAGCAGGACGTGGTTCACGTGCGTGTCAGCGAACGCCACGGGGGAGGTGGAACAGCTCACTCCCGCGGAAATCGGGGAAGGAGCGAACCAGATTTATCGCGCGCTCGACGATAAGTACGTAGACATCAGCAATAGGAAACAGAAAGTAAACGGCGACATGACAAAAGTGCGGCACGTGCCAGGGCTGGGGAAAGCCGCCCACAAGCTGCTGACGCACATCGAGCACACCTCGCGGCGCCTGGCTGGGGCGCAGGAAGCGCGTCGAGTCATGCGGTTTGAGACGAACGCGCTGCGCGTGCGTTGCGGCGTTCCCATATTCGTAACCTTCTCGCCCGACGAAGGCCGCAACCTGCTCGTGGTGCGGCTCTCGCGCACTCGACGGCAGGACCCCGCGCACAAGGCAGCCGATGATGAAGCGCACTCGCGGCTGGCGGGGGGTCGGGGCTGGCCAAGCGTAGCCCCCGACATGGATGGGCTGCGCATGGACTTGCCGATGGCCGCGGGGGAGGCAGGAGTGCCGCAATGGAGCGAGCGCAGACGAATTCTTGCCAGAGATCCCATGGCCAGCGTAGACGGCTTCCGTATCCTGGTGGACGCCACGCTCCGCCACTTGTTCGGCGTGCGGACCTGTCCGAATTGCCCGCGGTGCAACGAGGCGGAGAATGGGGCCCCCTGCCAGGACCTGTTCGGGAGTAGCGCCCAGCCCGGGGGGGGCGCGTTCGGGCGAGTCGATGCCTACTGCGTGTCCATCGAAGCGCAGAAGTCGACGGGGGCTCTCCACGCGCGCTGCCAGGTATTCATCCAGTGCCTGCACCAGCACGCGCCGCTGGATGAGGTATTCGAAGTCGTCCGCGACGAGGTAGAAGGCCGTGGAAAGAAGATCGTGGAGGATTATTTGGAGTATAAGGGACGCGTGTGCCGCCAGGTGCATTCGGAGCACATGGCGCCCGAGGAGGTAAATGGCAAGTTGGTTGAGGCAGAGAAGTCGTGGCTGGAGTTCAAGAACGATGGAGGCCTCATTTGCAGGCCCGCGTTTCAGTGGCGCACCCTTGACCCAGAAGCATCGGAGAAGGAGGCAGCAGACGACGCTGTGGCATGGGAGAAAGCGTACCTGGACGAAGACGTACAGTACCTGCAGGAGAGGAAGCAGAACCACGTGCATTTGAAAAATGAAGAGACTGGGGACCGAGCCCCCTGCCGGCGTGCCGCCGGAAGGACAGCCCGAAGCTGTGTAAGGCGGATTTTCCGCGCACGTCGCAGCTCATTGACCGCGCCATCGTCGTGTGTCCAGGGCAGGCGGCGGCGTTGGACATGCCAAAGGCAGGGCGTCGGAATCGGGCGGGAAGCCTGCGCGGGCCGATGAATCGCGAGAGTCTGAACGGCACGCATCCTTGCACGTTGCCCGCGCAAAGGTTCAATTCGGACGTGCAATTGCCGTATCGGTTCCCCATCGCAGAGGTTTGTTGTACGCGCGGGAAAGCGTGCGATAAGAAGCTGAACGACGCAGCGATCATCAAGGTCGCGCAGGTGGCACAGGACGCACAGGCAGGTCACGCCTGCGACTACTGCACGAAGAGGCAACCCATGGCTTTCCACGAAGTGAAAGAGTGCTGCAAGGGAATAGAGAAGCTTGGCAGGCAGCTGCAGGGGGAGAATGTGAGTCGGATCGGGAAGCGAGTAGCTCACCGAATCATGAGCGACGCGTACGGAAAGGGCATCGTGCGGGGGCAAGTGGAGTGTGCGAGCCTGAGAGCGTTCGCGAGGGAGGACGACGTCACTGCGGCGGAATCGCTGAAGTCTTGCCAGACCACAGCCTTTTATGGACGCGAGTACGTGGATTTGGTCGAGCGCCTGGCAGACCGCGCGACAGGGGGCGCAAAGCGCAGTTTGCTGAAGTGGACATGCGGCAGAGGAGGCGCAGAAAGGTGACCTTCCGAGACGTGGCCATGTTGTATGGGCTGCGACCGAACATCCCCGACCTGTGGCACTTGTCGCCGTACGAGTTCGCGACGCTCTGGACGCCGGTGTTGGCGTCGTTCCCGACAAGGCTCGGGGATGCGGAACATCCGCGCCATCGCGCAGTCTTGACGGAGAAGGGCAAGGAGAAGGTGCGCGAGAATTGCAAGAACCCCAGACTGGAGCAGGACCTGGAACCCGGGGAGGACTACAGGGTGAAGGATGGTGGAGGCGTGGATTGGGTGCCGTACCCAGAGACAGATGGGTGCGCCCACCTTCGCCACACGCGGGTGCTGAATCGGAACAAGAGGCCGAAGGCACCAACCTTTTTCGGAGCGCCTGTGCCGCGCGGACGTCCAGGAGAAGCGGAGCGATCGGCGCGCATTGTCGCGACGTATTTCCACCCGTGGACGTTGAGGCCCGACGCGGCCGACGCGCATGTAGTGTTCGCAGGGAGCTTGCGCGGGGATGCGACGACGTGGGACGCGGCCATGGTGGCGCGGCTGGACGGCGGTGTGCAGACGAAGGAAGCCGCGCGGTACGTGGGCAACTTCCTGAGTGCGTACCGCGTGCGGCCACGAGACACGGACGAAGCGGGGGGCCGGACCGACGAGGACGTGAGCGACGAGGAGTTGGAGGTGGGCTTCGATCAGCTCGACGAGGCGCTCAAGTCCCGCGCGGGCGGGAAGAGGCGCAAGGACGGCGACGGAGACAGCAGCTGCGAGGAGGACGACGCAGGCCCTGGGCCGGGAGCCGGAGGCGTCTCCCATTACGAGAATTCGAAAGGGGGCATGAGTGTCGCGCAACAGGTGTGGGGGCTGCGCGATGGGGAAACGCCGTTGAGCGAGATTCCGGGTGCATGGCCCGCAGAGGAGCCCTGCGACGTAGAGGAGGTACTCAGGGAGGCGCGCAAATCTCGAAACAAGGGGCAATCCATGGCGGACCGACTGGCGGAGGCTGACGGCGCAGTTATCGTCGCTGGGCAGGCCGCAACATCGGAGGACGTTGCCGCGTGGCTCAGGGACCTAGAGTTCCAGGTGGACAAGCAAACGGGGCGGCGTGTTGTGAACGCGAAGCAGTTCGAGATGGTGAAGAAGGTGGCGAGTCGAGTAATGCGCGAGATAGACGGCGAGGGAAGTGAGGACGGCAGCATGGGTGAGCCGCTGCAGCGGTGCATGCACGGAGGCCCTGGGACCGGCAAGTCGCACGTGCTTCGCATTATTCGTCATGAGTTGTTCGATTTGGTGATGAAATGGACTATCGGAGTGCACTTCCATATAACCGCCTTGCAGGCCGCCATGGCTCAGCTGCTGGGAGGCGACACCATTCGCCATGCGTGTGGCATTCCGGCCGCCAAGCGGGGGGAAGGGAAGGGGGGGGGGACGTGAAGTTGCAGTGCGAGACTGCGAAGCGGCTGCTCCAGTGGAGGTGGCTCTTTATCGATGAGATAAGCATGGTGAGCGCCAGAATGCTAGCAGAAGTGGACGCGAAACTTCGCGGGGTCATTCGGGACGTGGGCACGACGAAACTTGGCGACGATGGCGTTCCACGCCCGTTCGGCGGCCTCAACGTCGTGCTGAGTGGTGATTTCTGGCAGCTGGCCCCCCCTGGCGGAGGCTTCCTCGCCGACGTCTCCACGGAGCGGATTTCGGCTGCGCGCAAGTACACTTCGCTGCCACCCGTGCTGCACGGGCAATCGCTACTGTGGGGCGGGGCCGAGTGTGGGATTCAGGGCGTGACAGAGCTGGAAGAGTGCGAGCGATGCGACGACGCCTGGTTGAAGGAGGTGCAGGAGGAATTCCGAAGAGGGTCGCTATCGGGGGATGCGCACGCATTCTTGCACGGCCGGCACACGACCGTTCCTGGGAGCTGGCTGGGGGGGGACGTATGCTGCGGGAATCGGGCGTGTCGGGAATTGTGCAGTGGCGGAAGCGACGCAGCGTCGTCAAGCGCGGGGCAACGACGGAAACGCCCCGTGACGACGAAAGATAGCCGCGAGCAGGAGTGCAAGGTGTGCAGAGCGGAACGCGCACGCCGCCAGCTCGTGGTGGATGGCCCCGACGACCCGCGTTTGCAGTCAGACAACTTCCTCGTGGCGCCGGGTGTGTTCCCAAACAACGACGTGAAGTACGAGGCGAACAAGCTCCGTGCGTCCCAGTACGCACGCAAACACAGGAAGCCGATGGTGTACGTCCCTGCGCGAGATACGCCCGCGCCAGAGGCGCTGCGGGAGCGGCCGGATCTGCCGCAGCAGAAGATGGCATGGCTCCATAGCCACGACAAGGAGAGCGGGGACTTGTACGGCTTCTTGCCCATCGCTGAAGGCATGCCCGTCGCTCTGACCGATCATATCGATCGAAGCGAGGACAAAGACCTGCTGCGCGGTCGCGCGGGCCGGGTGCAATCCTGGGCATGCGACGGGGACGGCGTCAATGATCGAGTCACGCGCGGCGGGGAGACCATATTGAAGAAGACTCCGAAAGTGATTTTCGCGTTGTTCGACGAAGGCGATGACGGGAACGGCGGCAGGAAGCCATGCCAGTGGACGATCGAGGGATTGAAGACGCCCGGCTTGCACCCCGTGATTCCGCAGAAGAAGGATTGGTTCGTGGACAAGGGCCGTCCGCATCCGCGACTGAAGGTCAAAAGATGGCAATTCCCGCTGGCCCCGGCCGTCGGAGTGACGGCCCATGCGGCGCAGGGGCAGACGTTCAAGCAAGGTGTCCTATAGTGGACCTGAGCATCGGCGGGGGCACGTCACCTCTGTCGAGCTACGTGGCACTGACGCGGGTGCAGCGCCGCGAGGACATGCTGATCTTTCGCCCTTTCGATATGGCGCCGTATCAGAAGAAGGACGAACGGAAGGGCCCGGACTTACTGCTGCGCACGTTGCGCGGAGAAGAATTAGACTGGGAGGCGATAGAGCGGGAGTTCATGCCGTCTGGCAGGTGCGCGGTCTGCGGGTGCACGAAGTACAAGAACATGTATCCGACGGTCGGGCAGTGGAGCCGCGCAGATGGGCTCCGCGCGTGCAGCGTGTGCCTGGAAGATAAGAAGAGGTCCGGCACGCCGTGGCAATGCATGGAGTGTGGTCTATGGAAGTGCCAGGAGGCGTTCCACGCGTCACAGCACCACCCGTCGAAGTTGACCACGCGGCGCTGCGTGGACTGCCCCGAGAGACGGAGTTGCCGCGTGTGCGAGGGTCGGAAGTACGAAGAAGCGTTCGCGCCGTACCAGTGGGACCTTGCAGGGAACAGCCGGTGCAAAGGGGGGATGTGTGTAGAGTGTGAAGAACTGAAGAAGCACCTCGTATGCGGTCGCTGCAAGGAGAGCAAGATCGCCACTCATTTCGCGAAGCGCGACGTCGATGACGTGGAGCGCTTGTGCGACAAGTGCAAAAGGGATGAGAGGAAGGAGGTGAAGCGGCGGGGGGGAGAGGAGGAACGGAAGAAGTGTTCGCGGTGTGGTGAGGAGAAGCCGCGCGACATGTATTCCGGCTGCATGTGGGAAGAGAGGCCCAGGCCGCGAGAGTGCATGGAGTGCGTCGAGCGGGCTGCCGCCGAAAGGAACGAGAAGCACAGAGGCGCGCGGAAAGAGATGAGGAAAGAGATGAAGTCGTGCACAGCGTGCGGCGCGGAGAAGCCTGAAGCCGCATTCAGTGGGAAGAT